CCAGGCCACGCCCCCGCGCCACCCCGGGCGGGAGGAGGTTCGGGGGAAGGTCGGGGGCGGGGGGCCGGGAAGCCAGGCCTGCCCGCGGGGTTGGCGGGGTTGGCACGGGTCTGTCCGGGGTACGGTGCGGCGGGAACGCGCTTCGCCCTCGCAGCCGCTGGAGGTAATGACAGCTACAGCGTGTGTGCGAGGCGTTCTCCCCTGAGAGTCCTGACCTCAGACGCCCTCCAACTTGTGAAAGTTCCTTCTTCAAAGTGCTGCCACTGGGGCTCATTCTGTGGGAGCAGATGCAGAGCACGGGGGCCCCTGGAGCCCGAGTGAAAGGGGATTTTCACTGTCACGGGAAGAGCTGGCAGAAGGGCCCTGGGTGGGCTGGGGGAGGGCCTGGGGGAGAGGGGCCCCGGACCGCGGAGCGTGACCTACCCGCACGGAGAGAGAAGGCATTGAGGCCGGACTGTGGAAGGACGCAAGTACACGCACACTAGCGCACACACACGCACACACACAGAGACACGCACACACACAGAGACGCACACATACACACATGCCCACACACACACAGAGACACGCATACACACAGAGACGCACACACACAGACACGCACAGACACGCATACACAGAGACACTCACACACACATGCCCACACACGCGCACACACAGACACGCATACACACAGAGACACGCAAACACATGCACACACACAGACACACACACATGCACACATTCCCGCACACACATGCCCACACGCACAGAGAGACGTGCACACATGCCCACATACACACGCGCATGCACACACACATGCCCACACACACATGCACACACAGACACGCACATGCCCTCACACACATGCCCACACACGCACACACACATGCCCACATGCCCCACACACACGCCCACACACGCTTATACACGCACACACATGCCCACACACACGCACACAAGCCCCACACACACATGCCCACATACACACACGCACACACAGAGACACACGCACACATGCCCACACACACGCACATGCCCACACACACGCACACACACACGGGCACCTTACCTGGTACTTTTCTTTTTTCTTTTTGTTGTTTTGTTTCGGTACTGGAGCTTGAACTCCATCTCTGAGCATTTTTTCCTCAAGGCTGGCACTCTACCATTTGAGCCATCGCTCCCCTGGCGTTTTGCTAGTTTATTGGAGATAAGAGTCTGCCAGACCTACCTGCCCCCACGCGGCTTTGAACCATGATTCTCAGATCTCAGCCTCCTGAGTAGCTAGGATTTCCGCATACAGCTATTTCAGCTTTTCTGAACATGTTCCTATCCAACCCGTGTTCACTGGCTCCAGCATCTGCCTATGTGCAAAGTCCTTTGCTTTCCTCCACCTCAACTAAGATCTTCAGTGATTCTGCCCCTCTTTTTCCTTCATGAGTATAACCTTTTGTATAAATTAACAGTCTCAGTCCCTTGCTGGTGACTCAAGCCTGTAATCCTAGTTACTCAGAAGGCTGACATCTGGATCTGCTGGGTCTGGATTTAAGGCCAACCTGGGTAGAAAGTTTACTAGATTCTATTTCCAGAATAGCCTGCAAAAAAGCACGGGATGCATTGCTCAAGTCTTAGAATCCCAGCCCACTAAATGCATGGCCCTGAGTTCAAACTCCAGTAGCACACACACACACAAAAGAAAAGAAACCTCAGTAACAATACCTTTCATGTGAAGATTTACCAAATACACTCACATATTGTCAGTTGGCCCTCACAATAACCCTATGTTAAAGATAGAGCAGGGGTTATCTCCATACATCAAAAGGAAAAGAATTAGTCACAAAGCAGTCCTTTGTACAATTAATATACTGCTAGATTTTTTAAAAGGTAAGGGAAATTATGTACTAAGATTTTTTTATTGTGAAAATACTGTACAGAGGGGTTACAATTACATGGCCAAGATAATGAGTACAATTCTTATCAAGCATTGTAGCCTCCTCCTTTGTTTCCCCTTCCCATCCCTTCCTACCCTCCCCCCCTCCCCCACCAATCCTCCTCTCCCCCCACCAAAGTTGTAAAGTTCGTTTTAGACATAAGGACTTGTATGTACTAAGATCTTTTAGTGAACAATAAAGCTAAAAATAACAAACATTTATTATGTGCTTTATATGCTAATTACTTAATCACAGTCCCATAGGTTAAGTACAGAAGTTAAATTTAATAAGGTATGCTAACACAAGTGTAATCCTAACTACACATAGTTGAGAAGAACTGGGAAGTTGGGCTAGTTTTCCATTACTGTAACAAAATGCCTGACAAACTTATAAGGAGGAAAATTTTAATTTTGCCCCAAATTTCAGATGTTTCTGCCGAGGGCCAGTAGTGACACAGAATGTTATGACAGGGAACAAATCTAATCACCTCATGGAAGCTGAAAAAAAAGAAAAGGGAGTTGAGTCTGGCATCCCAATATCCTTCACTGACACACCCCTCGGTGGCCTAACCTCAACAGGAGTTGCCAGACCCAATAGCGCCATCAGCTGGGGACCAAATTATAACACATGACTTTTTTTTTTTAATTTTTTATTGTAAAGATACTATACAGAGGGTTACAGTTACATGAGTGAGGTAATGAGTACACTTCCTCTTGAACATTGTTAGCCCCTCCATTGTTTTCCCCCTACCATCCCCTAACACATGACTTTTTAAGTGACATTTAAGATATAAACAATAACAAAATGAACCTTGAGACAGATTTGCAGAGAAATTAATGGAACAACATTAAGGATCCCTTGTCTTCCTATGCCTTGAAAATAACTTAATTTTACATGTCATTTGGATGTTGGGGCATTTTGTTTGTTTTTTTGGTTTTGTTTTGTTTTGTTTTTGTCAGTCATGGAGCTTGAACTCTGGGCCTGGGCGCTGTCCCTCAGCTCTTCAACTCAAGGCTAGCACTCTACCACTTGAGCCACAGCACCACTTCTGGCTTTTTCTGTTTATGTGGTGCTGAGTTATCAAATCCAGGGCCTCATGCATGAGAGGCAAGCACTCTACCACTGAGCCACCTTCCCAGCCCTTGTGGGTTTTTGTTGTTGTTGTTGTTATTGTGAGACAATGTATCATGTATTGCTAAGGCTGGTAGAGTGGTTGCAAACTACTGGACTCAAATAATCTTCCTTCCTGAACCTCGCAAGTATGTGGACTCTGGACACCACAGTTCCCAGCTTAGTCATATAAATTTTAGGACCTGTAAAATCTCAATTTTTCCCAGACAAAACTCTTTACAACACTAAAGCAAACTAATAAAATAAACATAAACTATAATGGCATTATAATAGGAAATACCATCCCTAAAATATTCTCTATGGAAGTGCATGAATCACTTCTACAAGCAACTTTTGAAAGAATATTGATAAGCTAACTTATGTCCATAAACTGGTAGAGTTGGTAATGTAGGACCCAGAAAGATTTAGCTCTAGAAGATAATTAAAAGGTTATTAGCAATTATCAGCACTGGAAAAGGTAAAAACCACAAGTTATTATCAAATATGTAAAGGATTATTGCGAAAGAAGAATTAGATTCTGTTCTGAACGTGAACTTACTTACATAGTCTTATCATTTCAGTGGAGTAAGAAGATTCAGTAAGAACCTAGCAGGAACTCAAGTTCCAGGAACTATAAGGACACAAAGAAAATCAGTGAAACATGGTATCATTGGTGATGTTAGCAAATAACAGGTGGTGGCCCAGAGTACAGGGAGGTGTAATAGAGAAGAGGTGCTTGGACAGAAAGGAAGCCAAAGTCCTGAATAGGTGATATTCAGAGATGCAGGCAGACTGAATTGTTGGCAGGATTATCAGGCATAACATTAATCCTCAGGAAAAAAGAGTAAGAAAAAGGCTGTGTCTTCCCACCACACACACTATAATGTCAAGGACACACTGACTTGATAAACAAAACAGGATTCTAGATACTAGGCCTGAGAGTCACCACATCCCAAGTTTACCATCACAGCTTCTATCCTAGGCACCATTTGCAAGCAAAACCAGTGTGGCACTGTAGACTAAAGGTGTACCCATGATCTGCCCTCACTTACAAATCCATCCTCATAGATGCGGCACCTGAGAATGTTCCACGCTATTATGTTAAGAATTTATTATTTTATCTTTGTGCCTTTGAATGCCAGCCTAAACCAGGTGGGTACATTAGCGTGGCTCTGGATTGAGAACCTTAACCAGGAATAAATGACAGTGCATTCTCTTATTTTGGCTGCTTAAGGTATTTTCATGGATTTACTTAAATGGAAGCAGTCCCAATTCCACCATCACAACAACAACATCACCAGCAACAACAACTCAAAAATACCTTAGTAGAAGACACTCTGTCATTTGACCAATCTTTGGTGCAGTTTTAGTTTGGCTACAAAATTTCTAAACAACTATTTTACTGTCCATGTTTCTCTGGAGTAGAAATTCTAGTAGGACTTATCTCTGCATTATGGAATCAGGTGGGAGGCTCACCTGAAATGACTGCATTGACATCCTCTTACAGTGCTGCTGCTTTTTCATTGAGGCTCATTCATTTCATTAATCCATTAATTTCTTTTCCATATGGACCTCATCTTCAACCTCATGGTGTTTGTGGTAGTGGGTGAGTCTTTCTCCTCTAGATAGATAGATAGATAGACAGAGAGATACATAAATACATAGATCTCTCTATATGTATATTTCTCTCTTTGTGTCTCTGTCTTTTTCTCTCTCTCTCATAGGAATACCCAGACTTCTTTATTTGGCACCTGGTTCCCAAAATGTACAAACAAATTTTATAGGGCCTGCAAAGCTTAAGCCCAGACATCATACAACTTGTATGTCTTCTTCTGTTGGTGAAAGCCAATAGAAGGACCAAGCCCAATTAAAAA